TTTCAAAGATTTTGTTGCTCCATGGGACACTCTCCGGGAGGTGGGGTGTTGGGGAGGGATTGGAACAGTGCTGGTTTCCCACTTCCTTACCCTTTCTCTGGAGCTGTGGCAGTGGGCCTCCAGACACCTCCTTTGCTGCTGAATTCTCTTGTTTGAGTCAGCTTGTGCCCAGCTCTGATCTCCTCTCCAGCATTGCCCATTCCCAAAGTACACTGGTTAGGTCACTTGCTCCTCTGGACTAGGGTGAGGGAGGGGAATTGTGGGTGCTGAAAATCTCTCAAGTTCTAATTCCAGTACCTTTCATCTGATACTTGCTCTAGGTCATTTTAGAATTTACAAAGCTCTTCCTCAACTTCTCTCTTTGGGATAAAGTCCATTTTTTCTTATTTTGACTCTCTCTTTTAACATCTCATACAGAGACAGCTTATACTCTACCATCCTCCTGGAAATCAAGAGATTATTTAAATCATTTCCCTTATGAAGGCTCCTGGATTATAGCACTCCTAAACCATGTTGGATTTTGTACCACATTTTCATGATCTATTCATCAGTTGAGGGACACTTAGGTTGCTTCCATCTCTTAGCTGTAGTGAAAAGAACATCAACAAACAGAGAAACACAAGTATCTGCAGTAGGATGAGTCCTTTGGGCATATGCCAAGGAGTGGTATAATTGAATCATATGGTAGGTTCATTTTTAGTTTGTATGTGTGTGTGGGAGGGGTTGGTCTTTTGAGGCAGAGTCTCCCTGTAGCCCCAGCTGTCCTAGAACTCGCTATGTAGACCAGGCTGGTCTCGAACTCACAGAGATCCGCCTGCCTTTGCCTCGAAAGTGCTGGGATTAAAAGCATGTGCCACCATGCCCGGCTTCATTTTTAGTTTTTAAAGAGTTCTCCACACTGCTTTCCTTAGTAGTTCTCAAGCTTGCAATCCTACTAGCAGTGAATGAGTGATCCCCTTTCCCCACATCCTCTCCAGCATTTGGTATCATTTGTTCTCTTGATCTTTAGCCAGTCTAAGATAAGGTGAAATCTTAAAGTGGTTTTAGTTTGCAATTTCCTAATTATTAAAGATGTTAAACACCTTTTAAGGTGTTTCATAGCCGTCTTTATTTCTTCTCTTGAGAAGTCCCTGTTCATATCCAAACCCATCTTTTAATAGGGTCATTTGTTTTCTTGATTCTTTGTTTTTTGAGTTCTTTATATATTCTGGATGTTAAACCTCTGTCAGATATGTCACTGGTGAAGATTTTCTCCCACTCTGTGAGTTTCCTCTTCACTTCTTTGGTTGTTTCTTTTGCTGTACAGAAGCTTGTTGATTCTTGACCTTAATTCCCCAGCAACTGCAGTCTGGTTTAGAAAGTCCTTTTCTACACCTGTGTCTTGTAAGTTATTGTCAATGTTTTCTTTTAAAAGTTTCAGAGCTTCAGGTTTCACATTGAGGTCTTTGATCCACTTACAGTTGACTCTTGTGCAAGGTGAAAGATAAGGCTCTAGTTTCATTCTTCTACAGCTGGAAATCCAGTTTTGCCAGCACCATTCATTGAAGATGCTGTCTTTCCTCCAGTGAATATTCTTGGCCACTTTGTCAAATATTAAGTGGCTGAAATTGCATGTACTCATGTTTGAGTCTTCAGTTTCTCCTTTGATCCATTCATCAGTCAAGACTGATGTTGTTTAATCTCCATGAGTTCATGTAGTTACTAGAGCTTCTTTGTGGTTTGACAGAATGCATGGAATTATTTCAGTTTTTCTGTATTTGTTGAGGTTGTTTTGTGCCCTAGTATGTGGTCAGTTCTAGAGAAACTTGCATGGGCTGCTGAGTAAAGAGTGTATTCTTTGGTACTTAGATGGAATATTCTACAGTTATCTGTTAGGTCTGTTTGGTGAAGATGTCTTTTTATTCTTTGACCAGTTGAACAGTCTATTGCAGATAGTAGGATATTGAAGTCACCTTGTATGACTGAGTTGGGGTTAATCTGTGTCTTAAAATTCTGAAGTATTATTTTTATGAAATTGAGTGTACCAGTGTTTGATATATGTTCATGATTGTAATATCTTCTTGGTCAATTGTTCATTTCATCAGAATTTCTTCTGATTAGTTTCAGTTTGAAGTCTATTTCATCAGATATTAGAATTGCAACCCTTGATTGTTTCTTAGTATCATTTGCTTGGAATATTTTTTTCCATCCTTTTACATTAAGGTAGTGCCTATCATTGAAGATGAGATTAGTTTCTTGCAGAAAATAGAAAGATGGGTTTTGTTTCTTTTTTTTCGGTCTTTTTGAGACAGAGTCTCCCTGTAGCCCCAGCTGTCCTGGAACTCACTATGTAGACCAGGCTGGCCTTGAACTCAGAGAGATCTGCCTGCCTCTGCCTCCTGAGTGCTGGGAGTAAAGGCATGCACCACCATGCCCAGTGGGTTTTGTTTCTTAATCCATCCAACTAATCTGTGTCTTTTGAATGGGGAGTTCAGGCCATTGATATTTAAAATTATTAATGAAAGATGTGCATTGTCTGCTTTTCATTTTAATTTCTGTTTGTAGTCTTGGAATGTTTTGCGTTTCCATAGTTATCCCTTCATTTAGTTTCTTTCTGTTGCCTCTTGGATATAGTTATTTCTTTCACTTCTTTGTATTGCTTCAAGTATTCTCTGTAGGGCTGGTTTGGTGGACATGAATTCTTTAAGTCTATTCATGTCATGGAAGATTTTTCTTTCTCCTTCCACTATAATGGACAGTTTTTCTGGGTAAAGTATTCTGGGCTGGCATCTGTGGTCATTTAAAATTAAGAGTGTTTTGGTTTAGGCCCTTCTGATTTCATAGTTTGCATTGAAAAGTCACCTGTAGTTCTGATTGGTTTTCCTTTATATGTGACTTATTGCTTTTCTCTTGCAGTTTTCAGTATTCTCACTTTGTTCTGAACATTCAGTGTTTTTACTGATATCCCATGGAGGAGTTTCTTTTCCCATCCTGTCTATTTGGTGCTCTATGTGCTTCTTATATCTTGATGGATATGCCTTTCCTTAATTTGGGGAAGTTTTCTTCCACAATCCTGTTGAAGATATGGTCCATACCATTTACCTGAGATGTCTATGATATATAAATTTGGTCTTTTCATGGTGTCATACACTTCCTGCATATTCTACTCTTGCTTTTTTAAAATAAATTTTTCATATTCTTTGCTTGAGCAGTCCAGTTCTTCAATTTTATTGTTCAATCTTGATATTCTGTTTTTCATTTCATTCATTCTATTGGTGAGGCTTTCTCCTGTTATTTCAAACTGGTTTATTGAGTTTTTACTTCTTTCTTTATTCATTTCAACCTGAGTTTTCTTCAATATTTCTCTTTAGTGAATTCGGTCAAAAGTTTTCCTTATTCTTTTAGTTTTTTAAGTTGTGTGCTCTTTAAATTTCTTAAATTCTTTGATGATGTTTATAATTATTTTTTCAGATGCTGTGTCCTGGGTTATCTGCATGGAGTTCTCATTGTAGAACTCTTCTATAAGACTGGTGGTGTTTGGTGGAAACATTATTTTGTTTTATCATATTCTTTTTCGTTGTGGTTTTTGGAATGTGAATTTCTTTTGTTGCTTGTGATTCTGGTATGAAGCTCAAGCCTTCCTTTGTTGAGTTGAAGTTTGATTCTGTTTGTATTATTGATATACCTTGGTTGTTTTCTGATTGGATATAAGAGGCTGATTGGTCTAAGTTTCAGATTTTCTCTTTTGATTTTGTATTGGAGGGACCAAATGGCTCCAGTCAGGCTAATCAGGAGCTCTCCAGAAAGGCAAAGTGGCTGACTAGTTAGGAGCAATTCAGAAGCCTCAGATGTATAGTACCAAGGTCCCAATGAGAGATGGGAGATGGAAGTGATAGTCCCTACTAGCCAACAGGGAAGCCTAAGTCCTGGAACTGTGAGAAGGACTGCAGGTGGTCCCATAGTAGGGGAATGGGCACAGTGCTATTTGGGAAGTTCACCCAGCAGAGGCCCTAGTCTGACTCTCTCAGGTAGTCTCCCAGACAGTCTCCTCCATTAGCATCTTGATACTGATTATTGTCATATTTAGTTGTAGAATTTCACTTTTGTTCCCTTTTTATGACTTCTAGTGCTCGCTTAGACATTTTAGCCTTACCTGTTATGTTCTAGAGCATGCCAGAATGATTTAATTTATTTATATCTGATGAACCTAAGCCAGTGTAGTTGTACATGTCCTTAATCCCAGCACTCGGGAGGTAGAGGTAGGAGGATCTCCATGAGTTCAAGGCCAACCTGATCTACATAGTGAGTTCTAGGGTAGGTGGGGCTACAGGAAGACCCTGTCTCAAAAAGACCAAAAAGGAAAAAAAATAGGAAAAGTATACCACAAGAACAATCTGACCCATAAAACATAATGTATGTACTGTCTGGCCATTCATATAACAAGTTTGCTGATCTGTTTTGTGGGTAGATTCTTCATAGATCTTTTTCTGTAATCTTTCTGGTGATGTCTTACCTACTCCTGTACCTAGTTGTTTTTATATACAGTTAAGGCCAAATGACATTGTCTCCAGAGAATAATGAATTTGATTCCAACAGGCAAACAAAGGTACTCACAATGCTGAATCATTATTAGAGAATGAGATGATTCAAAGTTCGATATCAGTCTCTGTGGTGGCTTTTGATTTCTGGTTCACTCTTAGAGTATAGCCCTTTGAAACCTCAAACGAAAACCTGAGATTTATGAGGCATCACCTTCTTGGTGTTCCCTACTGCACAATCTTCTGAAATGCTGCTTGGCAAGCCAAGCACATCTGCCTTGGTTGGTATTGACAAGTCATTCTGAGAGAAAGGTAACCCAAGTATCATGCTCATCAGTGTGGATGTCCCTCATTCCTGGGCTTTATCTTCTTCACCGGCCTTGTTAATAAACCTATGGCTTTCATACATCTCATATTTACTTTGCTATGAAGAGTAAAGCATTTATTTTCTTTAATTTTTTCACTTCTGCATTTTTATTTCAGATAGCATCATTATTTCCTATGTATGTTGTGGGATACATTGAGCCAAGCAAATTTCAGAAGATCATTTACATAAATTTGGTAACTTTAAAAATATTTATAAGTTCAATATTAAAATACATCAGTTTTTAATGCATGACTGATTCTGTTTTATGGGATACGTCCTTGTGGTAGTATTAATACATAGCATTTTGATGGCTTCTAGAGGGAAAACTGGAACTGTACATTTTGGATGCTGTGTTGTAGCATGTTATATTTTATACTGAAGGTTTATTATACTCTCTGCAGCTTTTATTTTTATTTTTGTGTTTTATTACTGTCATTAACTTTGAGACATTCTTTTCTCCTTTAGACCTGGGGTTTTTAGACTTTGTACAAATGTGACATTCTGCAATGGAAATTTTATACTGTTGAATTTTTGTTTTTATCTTACTTCTTAAATATATCTTTCTTTAAAACATGAAGGATAATAAAATCAAGATTCAGAAGTTATAGAAATCATGACGTAATCAACGAAAACATTAGTGTCACTAATTTTTATCAGTAGCTCTCATATTATATTGCCTCATAATCCAAATAATAGCAATAACAGTCTTAAAATAAAAATGCTAAAGATATAATTTTCTATCTTCCTCCAAAGTATACATTTGTAATAACTTCTTATTTTTCAGGGCTCGGTTATTTTTTGTTTCATTTTGATGTTTGGAAATCCAGTGTACTTGAGTTCTTATTATTCTTCATGTTTGTTAGTAACCTGGGTAAGTGGATTAGTTACTTTTGCATCACTGTCATCAAATACTTGGGAGACACAATTTAAGGGAGAGATTTATTTTGGCTCCTGCTTTCAAAGTGCTTAGTCCATGGTCACATGGCTCCCTGGTCGGAGCATGTGGTAGAGGTTCATCGTGTCTGTATGGGAGCCTATGGTAGAGGAGCTTCTTCACACTTGGCTACAGACAGGAAGCAGAGAGGAAGAGCAAGAGGAAGGATCCAGGGGAAATAGAGCCCTCAGGTACATGTCCATGTATACCCATCTCCAGCAAGGCAGGAAGTTCTATGAACTCACAGTAATACAGTCTCATTTTTAATCTATCAATGGATTAAATTATCCATTAGGTCAGAGCTTCCTTGATCTAATTAGTTCTCTAACACCTTCACAGACATACCCAGAGGTATACACTACTCCTCTAAGCATTTCTCCATCCAGTGAAGCAAACAATCAAGATTAACCATCACACTATGTGCTTGTTAAGCTCATAAAGAATTTTTTTCTTTTTGTTTGCGAAGGAGTAGGTTTCTCCATCTCTTGGGAGTATGGTAGAACTAGTGCAGTCCTTTTCTGATGGCCATTCACATGGAGAAGATCTCCACCCCAAATGGAGCTTATCTTGCTCATCCTTGAAAAATAGAATAGCCCAAAGCTTTCCATTTTAATGCAAGTAAATATTTTAAAAGTTATCATAAGCTAATGTTATCTACATTAAGACATCCAAAAATTTATGATGAAAATGGCCTGTATTCCCTTCAGTGATTTTGGTAAGCTCAGAATTTAGGACAACACTTGTTTGTCTAAACACTTTTGGAACTCCTTGGAGTTGCCCTCACAGACTTCAAAACAGAATGACATTATTTGGGTATATATTTGTGTGAGAAACAAAGATCCTCACTTCAAAACAAGAGCACTGGAGACAGGGTGCTGAAAGCAAGGTAGTTTATTTACAACTTTGTAGAGTTGGGCATCAGTCCAGAAAGGCAGATTTGTAGCTGGACCTAAGTTAGCTTGAGGTACTTTTGAAAATGAACCATAAGATTTACATTAGGAATGGTGATTCAATAAATCAGTTTTACTGCTTTTAGTCACACTTCTGATATGCATAAGCCAAAATCTAGAATATTCTCCCTTACCTACCTTTTCCATATAATCAGAAATGAGAGTAACCACAGTAATGCACAACTATTTCACCTGTGTAACAGGTGTGCTACACAGATGGAATCCTTAGGGATTGCTCTTGACTGTTAGCAGTTTGCTCCAACGTCCTTTCTGCTTCATAATAATGAATTCCTTCAAATTCCCCTTTCCCTCAAAACAGATGCCTGATCTTCTCAACATGATGTCAGACTTTCAGTATTCTCCACACACCATGTACTTTCTAAAGGAGTTGGTCTGCAGAAAATGACCAGCATAACTCAGTGATGTAGTAATGTGATGCAAGAGGCAACATTTTAGCACATTAAACATTTCCCCCTATTTGCAAGGAAATTCATATTTTAAAAAATTTGAATAGGCAGTAAATAAGAAGGATAATAAAAGGTGATAGTTTAGATGGGGGAGTATGACTGCTGTAATACAAATGTTCATTTTATTTCATTTTTTGTCATATATTTTAGGCTATAATGCAAAAGAAAAATAAAATTCAAAGATTGGGAGTATCTGAACTCAACCTTTGGGTAAGATTTAATGTTTTTAAGAATATTTATATTAAATTCATTTTTATTTCTATAAACTAGGTGAGAAAGTTGGTTTTAAACCATAAAGAAAAACAAATATAATGGGATATCAGTTCTTGCTTTTAGAGGCATTGTAAGATGTAAAAATGTAGAGAGATTTGTCCACTAAGTTTTTTTTTTTTCTAGCTTAAAATTTTTATTTTATTTTTTTCTGTGTTATTGTATGTACTGTCTGCGTGTAGGTAAGTGCACCCGTGTCATGCAATGCCCACGGAGGTCAGAAGAGGCTGTCGGATCCCCTGGGACTGGAGTTAAAAATTCACAATTTGGTAAAATGTAAGAATACCAATTTCTACTAGTAAACTATTGAAAATAATTGGGCATTTGGAGAATTTTGACAAACACACAAAGGAAAATATATTCTTGGACATTTTCTACTCCATTTTCAGTATCAGACAGAGAAGAAAATTAATGAAGTTATAAACCAAAGAATGACAAAGAAACAAAAAATCTGAATGTAGAAAAAATTGGCAACAAGCAGAGATCATGCTTTTGAAAGTGTGCCTTAAACAATAGGAAGTAAAAAAGTAATAACTTAATAGACACAACAAAATAGTATAGTATCAACGTTCAGGAACATTTTCAAATCCTTAAGAAATATGGGGCTGGAAAGATGGCTTAGCAGTTAAGAACACTGGCTCTTCTTGCAGAAGACTCAGGTTTGAATCCCAGCACCCACATAGCAGCTAACAACTGTCTGTAACTCCAGTTCCAGGGGACCCAGTGGCGTCTTCTGTCCTCCACAGGCATTGCACAACATGAGTGCAACTACCTCCATGCAGGCAATACACGCATACACATAATAATAAATGGAACACTAAATGATATTTATTTAGGAAGGCACCATATAATGTCAGTTCTCTCCAGCTAATGATGTTGGAAGGCTCTCCAGTAAGATTGACTTACATGTTGCATTTTTAACACATGATGCTCAGATGTTTTGCTATCCATATGGGGAAATTCACATCAGACACAAATCTCAGTTCCAGGCTTAGCTTTGTAAATGTTCTCAATCTGAATATTTGGTCCCCTTTAAAATGCCTTCATAATTTCTTCAGTACTTCCACAAGACTCTCCAGGCTCATCTTGTATCGACTGTCCTACCTGGGGAAACTAACACTGACTCCTCTTTGTGAAGAACGGTATTTAGAAACCAAGACCTGAGTGGTGATTTCTCATTGTTACCTGTATGCTCCTTTCAATGACCATGTACATATTTGTACATGCATATTTGTGTATGTACAAAATCATAATTTTGAAATTATACTTATGTTTCCATGGTAGCACTATAAAAGGTAGATTGGCTGGGAACACTAGGAATCAAAGAAAAAATACAGCATACACTAAAAATACAGACCACTGAAGGTGGTCTGGGCCAGCATTTCTCAGCATTTGCACCCTCTGCCACTTCTCTAACAGAGCACTGGCAGAGACTGAGCAGGAACCCTATCAGCAAGTAGGAACAGAGGTGGGGAGAAGAACTCAAAGAATGAGCCCAGGGAAAAGCTCTCTATCCTGGGTGTCTGGCATCTACTATCCCTTCCTAGCCACAGTGGGAAGCCACAGAGGCCATCAACCTTGGTGATACCAGTTGGAACTGTTGACACTAGGATAGATGTATTGTCAGCTTTCCATAGTTGTAACAAAAATATCTGAGAAAATCACCTTAAAGGAGAGAAAAGGTGTGTTTTGTCTCATGCTTCCAGAGATTTCTGTTCATTGCCACTTGGCTCTGTGGTTGCTAGGCAGTGGTGAGGCAGAGCATCATAGTAGCGAGTGTGTGGTCATACGAAGCTGCTCATCTCATGGCAGCCAGGAAACGGGAGGGGGAGATGAGGGGGACATTTTATAACAGAGTGCCTTTCTCAGAATTCATTAGTCAGTGAATTTATAGATGGATTATTTACTATAAATGAAGTCAGAGTCCTTATGATGCAATCACCTCCCAGAAGCTCTGTGTCTGAACTCTGCTATACTGAACTTGGCTGCACCAGGAACTCTCTGACTTCAACACACGAGCTTTTGGAAGACATTTAAGGTCAAACCATAGCATTAATGAAGAAAGAGCTCTCTATTACCCATAAATCTGGTACCTGCCATCCTCTACCTAATGGCAAGGAAGTGCTTACCCTAAGTGACAACATCTTCAGTGCAACTTCTACATATAGGATGAATGCATCTCTCAACTCTCACTAGAGAAGTTTCCTTGTTCAGCAGATAGTGTTAACACAGAAACCCACAATTGGCCATTGTGCAGAGAAGAAGAGGCCACAGAGTACTTATCCATGAATAGGATGCATATTTCAAACTTCTGCCTCCCAAGGCTCAGGAATCATTGTGAAGAAGAGGCAGATATTTAAGAGTCAGAGGGGGTGGATGATCACAAGGAAAACAGTCTTCCAGACAGCTGGTCAGATACTCATATAAACTCACAGCATGCACAAGTCCTATGTAAGATTAAACACAAAATCTCAGTGTACTCATGGGAAGAAGTTAAGAAATCCTAACCTAGTCTAAGGAACTTTTGGCGGTTGATGACTGCTAGGAGGGAGACAGACAATGTCTTACAGAGATGGGACTCCTGGTGGGCCCAATGGATGGACCCACATTGACGGACATTTAGGGATACCAGTCAGACTCTATAAGCCATATTATATATAAGAGAGTACATTAAATTGTGCTGGGGGACAATATGGGGAGTTGTGGAAAAGGGAGGGAATATGAATACTATCAAACTATATTGTATGAATATCACAAAAATTCAATGAAAATAGAGTCACTTATAAAAGAAATTGGAGTTATAGAATTGAAAAATACAGTAACTGCAATTTATTTTCTATCTTTCTCTCTCTTTTTTTTTTTTTCTGAGCTAAGGACCGACCCCAGGGCTTTGTGCTTGCTAGGCAAGCGTTCTACAACTAAGCTAAATCCCCAACCCCAGTAACTATAGTTTAAAAACTGCCAAATAGACAGCACAAGAATGAATATGACAGTGAACAAACTGTAGAATTGAAGATAGAGCAACTGTTCTAAAGTAAGAAACGGGACTGGAAAAATGACAGTGCTTCAGAGATCTTTGAGCAATGAGAAAAGATCTAATATATTTATAATCAACAAAATTACAGAAGGATTGAGAGCCAGAGGGGCTAAATGAGTACTTGAAAAACACTGATTGGAACCGACCCTGATTTGTCAAAAGATGAACTCCAAGTAAAATGAATATAATGAAACTGAAGCCAAGACACATTATAACTAAATTTCTGAAAACTGAAGGAAATCCTGGTAGTAGATAGTGAGAAAACATGTTATATAGAAGAGAAAAACTGATGCAGTTTACAGCGGACTTCTCATCCCTAACCATGGAGGCTGCAGGAGATAGCATGACTCTCAAGTGCAGAAGGATCTATCACTCAAGAATTTTTATACCCAGTGAAGTTTAGAACTGAGGGGAAATGAAGGCATTCTCAGATCAAGGACAAATAAAAGAACTTGTTGCCTTCAGAGAAACAATGTTTAATGATAGTTCATAGAGCAGAAAGGAATTGTACAAGAAAGAAACAAGGAAATTAGAATGGGGATGTAGCTCAGTGGTAGACTTTTTGGATAGCAGGCTTGAGGGTTCAATACCCATCACCAACAAAACAGAGAAGAAATGGGGGTAGGGAGGGAAGAAAGAAAGCAAACATATATTCATAGATGTAAATATGATAAGGTATTCATGGAGGGCTGTCCTCCCATGCTTTTGTTGGGTTTGCTTTGTTTTTTCCTTTTCATTTTCCTTTATTTTTAGAGACAGGGTCTCCTTGTAGCCCCAACTGGCCTGGAACTCTATTCTATAGAGACCAGGCTGCCCTTGCTGTCACAGATGCTGACCTCTGCCTTCTGAGTGCTGTGATAAAAGGCCTGAACCACCATGCTAGCTCAACTTTATTATTTCTTAAGAGTTTCAAGTCAAGAATATATTTTCATTTTCATTTGTATTTATAGTAAGTGTTTGAGGCCATGATTTTTTGGGGGGCGGAACATGGAAATCTTATTTGCCCTCTTCGCTCTTGCCTCCCTTTTATGTATTTTTTTCTTTCTGAATGAGTTTTGGGTTGTCTTATCTGTGTTCCACCAGTTAGGTCTTGTTTGGCTTTTCCAGATCATTTGAAAATCTTGGCTATAAATCTTACGTGTTTTATTGTATTTACTTTGTTTTCCTATATAATTCTCTCCATTTTGATTTTCTATATGTAGAGAGAATAGTAGTACTTCCTTAAATATTTCATATTTGAAATAGTTTTTCTATAGCTTTTATAATTGAATGGCAGATTGGTTAAATATAAAGTCTCTGGTTCACAATCTTGAGTTTATAAAAATGCTTCTACACCCTTGCTTTGCTTTATATGTTTCTTTTAACAGGTCTTTGTTTGCTTGTCAAATTCTTTTGCCTGGAGATTCTGAGAAATTTTCATTTTTAAAAACTTTCATTACACTATATCCCAGGTTATTTATCATACAAATAAATTTCTGTAGTACCTGCAGGCCTTCACACATGCAGGTACAGGCTATTCGTATCTATGGGAAAATCTCTTGAATTATACTTTAAACGTCAGCTCTGCGTCCTGTCTTTTTCCTTAGCCGCCACAGTCGCAGTCAGAAGCCTGTGCCTGTCATGTAGTTCTGCCCCTTCCTCGGTCCGTCTTCTCTGCCCTTAGTCTCATGCTCCAAGGTTGCTTAATTGCTTGTCTTTAACATGTTTGTGAAACTTTTATTTGAGTCTCTTCTGTAGTCATCACACAGTTTTCGTTTTTCAATCATACTCTGATCTTCTTCCTCCGTGTCTAATAAAATTTTTATTTTATCCTAATTTTCATCTTTCTGTTCTTGGTTTTTAATTTCTAATTTGATTTTAAATACTTATGCATTTGAAATATCTATTCTCTTGCTCAAAGATACTTAATTAGATATTTATTTAGTTTTCTGTTTGTTTGTTTGTTTGTTTTGATACAGGGTCTCCCTGTAACCCAGCTGGCCTGGCACTCACTATAGAGGAGAGGTTGACTTCCATCTCACAGAGATCCTCCTGCCTCTGCCTCCTGATTGCTGAGACTGAAGGTGTGTGCTACCATGCCCATCTGGGCCTTATTTTTGCATAATATTTTTATTCTACTTTGACAGCTCTTTGTTCAGTTATGGATTTCATCACCTGAAATATTTGACTCTCATTTTTGCTACTGTCATATCGAAGCTTTGTGTAGACATGCAGGCATGTCCCATCTAATTGTTTTGTGCAGAGTTGGTGGTGTTTTTTTTTTTTTAAGTCCAATTGCAATTTCTTCTATGACTGTAGCATAATGTGGTGTTTTCAATAAATTAAACATTTTTTCTCTTCCTCTCCCCATCTCCTGTTTTATTTTTTCTCCCTCCTTTACTTCCTCTCTATGTTTTGTTGTGATGACAACAGTAACTGATCATCTTTTTTTTTTTTTTGTCTTTCTGAATGCTAGTTTCCTCTTTGCCATGTCTTCTCCAAAGGATGTCTCCTTCAGTTTGCCCTGCTTTCTTTCAGGAATGAGAGGAATGGCTTTTCTGAGATCTGTTCCTTCAGGGAAAGTCTCTGCAGTGCATCCTTAGTTTCTCTGCTTGCTCTACATTCACAGTGTCCTTTACTTTTTCTCCTCTTTGGTACTTGGGCTTCTCTTCTGCCAGGCACTCGAACCCATGACCCCCGGCGAGGTGAGGATTGGGGATAGTAAGCACGCCAGCCGACGCTGCCCCATTACCCGGGGACACTCAGATGCAACGGGGAGCCTAGTCAAGCTGGGACTCATTTATTGCAGGTGTTACAGAGCTTATAAAGGCACCTGGAACACCCCCTCCCCCCTGAGGGTGTGTCTTAAGGATGGTCAGGCACTGATCATGCACTCCTCAGCAGTGCAGAAGGATTCTTCAGACTTTCAAAGCCATCCAGGCCACGCCCCCAGTAACTTCCTTTCCGACCTATGCAAGGTGGGGCTTTTAGGTCCCCACACTCTTCCTTCACTTCTTTGGCGCCTCACTTCCTGTTCTGTCTTCAGTGGAGCTTTACTGGTCTCTGTTCATTCTCTACAGAGGCCTAGGCCAGGAACTTGGGGGAAATAACCCTGTATTTTTTCTTTCCCTCTATATTTACAAGTGAATTTTAACTTTGTGCTGTTATCTTTTCCAAATTTGAAGCCGTATTGCACTACCTCCTGGATAGTGTGGGGATTTGAACTTAGGCTGTTGTAATTTCTTTCAGGAGACCCCAAAGTCAACATTTATCCCCTTTTTAATCAAAGCTAGTTAAAAACTAAAAAACAACAATAATCAGGCTCCTTGTCAATTCTGGTGCATATTTTTCTTTTGAAACAAGGAATGTTCAGTCTCTCAAATTATAAATTTTCCTTTCTTAAAAGAAAGACTCATACTCCCACAAGAAGGGTAGAAAAATTTTATTGTAGCATTTTTAATATAGTAATTTAGTAATTTTTTTGAGAATTTTTTAGAATGTATTTTGATTATATTGAGCCCCCATTCTTCCCTCTTAACGCCTTCCAGATACACCCCCACTTCTCTACCCCCAACTTCATAGTCCCTATTTTTTCTTTTTAATAACTCATTGAGTCCAATTTGTATTGCCCATATACTGCTAGGTGTGGGATCATCTCCTGTAGCTGGTCAACCAACCAGGGGTCACATCCTTATAGAAAACTGACTCTCCCTCCCCGAGAAGCCATCATCTGTCCATAGCTCCTCAGTTAAGCCCCACCGTCCTCCCTGCTAGAATGCTGACTGGTTTGATCATGTTCAGGTCTTGTGCAGGCAACCACAGCTACTGTGAGTTCATGAGAGCAGTAATCCTGTCATGTCTAGAAGACCCTGCTTTGCTCTAGTCCTCCATGACCTCTGGCTTTCAGTCTTTCCACCTCTTCTTCCATGATGGTCTCTGAGTTTTGTTTTTTTAGCTGAAAAATATTATTTAGAAAACAAAACTGTATCTCTGTCTTCAGGGAAATTGAAAGAAAAAGTTTTTTTTACAATTATCTTTAGATCTAGGATATGTAGATCTCTAGTGTTTGATATTTTATAAGTCTCATCAAAGTTAAGCTTCACCAACAAACAGAAGTTTGTAAAGTCTCTTTCCTTTTCTTGCCATTCACTCTGTACCCAGATGGTTTGGTTTTTCTCTGTTACTTTTATGTGCAAATGAACAATTTAACAGTGCTGTTAAGTTATTTTTAAAATTCAAATTCTATTTTGTAGCTGATCCAAGGTTGTGCTTGGTGGAGTGGAACAATTGTTTTAAAATTTCTGACATCTAAAATGTGTGGCGTTTCAGACCATGTAAGTACTTTATAGTTGAAACATTAAAGTTCTTAAAAATACCCAACTGAATAAAAGTCTGAAGTAGTCTATCCTTAATGTCTCATTTCATAGATATTTCTTTTTCTTTTTAAAAAATTATTTATTTTTATTTTAGGTGTATGGATGTTTTGCCTACATGTGTGTAAGTGCACCTGTGTCATGCAGTGTCCTCTGAGGATAGAAAAGGGCATTGGGTCCCCTGGAACTGGAGTTATAGATGGTTGTTAGCCACCATGTGGGTGCTGGGATTCACACCCAGGTCTTCTGCAAGAACAGTCAGTGCTTTTAACTGCTGAGCCAGGGCTGGGGAGATGGCTCAGCAGTTAAGAACACTGGTTGTATGGGTGCACTTACTACCTACATGCAGGCAATACATGCATACACATAAAATAAAGATAGTAAATGTTTTAAAAAGTTTTAACTGCTAAGCCATCTCTCCAATGCCTTGACAGATATTTCTGTTTTTCCAAGCAAGTTATTTGCAAAGTTGATAATAAAATCCTGGAGTTCAGTATATTTGCAAGTGCTAGGAGAAAAGTGTACCAGTGGGTGTCACCTTAGTCTTCTAGATACAAAACTAATAATTCCCTTAGCAATTGATTAGAATATTTCAGACAAAATAAAGATAATTTGTTTAGTGATCATTTTTCCATTTGTTACAAATATTAACATATGACCAGTCATTGGTCATTGAAATACAGATTTCTTAAAAAAATCTCAGTATAATTTTATCTAAAATTATGAATTAAAATTATATTTGGATATTTAAAGACTATTCTTATTATGTAAAAAAGCATGTTAACAGTTTTTTGTCTTTTATGTAAAGAATATTTGTTATTTTTATTTTTATGAGTGTGTTGTCTACATGTGTGTAAGTGCACCTGTGTGGTGCAATTCCTACTGAGGTCAGAAGAAGGTATTGGATCCCCTAAAACTGGAGTTACAAACTCCAGTTGTTAATGGTCATGTGGGTGCTGGGAATCAAACCCGGTCCTCTGTAATAACAGTCAGTGCTCTTAACTGCTGAGCCATCTCTCCCACCCCCAGTTTTTTGTTTTGTTTTTTTTTTTTTTGGTCTTTTTTGAGACAGGGTCTCCCTGTAGCCCCAGCTGTCCTGGAACTCACTATGTAGACCGGGCTGGCCTTGAACTCACAGAGATCCGCCTGCCTCTGCCTCCCAAATGCTGGGATTAAGCCCAGCCTCAATTTTATCTTTTAGAAAATATATCTGCATCCCTTATCTCAAGATATCTCTGTTATTTTTGAAGTAAATATTTTAAATAAAAGCCCTTTTCAAGGTCTAAGTCCCTACTTACTAACTAGTTTAAGGAAAAGAAAACAGTGTATGACTGTACATTAGTGATTTTTAGCAGTTTCTTTTTAGCGGTAAGCTTATATGAGCATATCACATGGAAAGGTAGTGTGAAGTTTCCTTATCTTCCTATCAATAGGTTTGTGTCTAGTACTAGCCAGTGGGGGCCCATCCAGTACAAACCCATGTTACCTTGAGCTATTGATTGTAACACGCCTTCTCTAACAGGCCAAGAGCTCATAATAGGCAATAAAACATGACACATGCTCACACTAAAAACAGCCCTACATGTAAGCCTTTATTTTCTACTTACTGATAATGTTAAATAGTGGTTTCTTGGGGACATTTGTCATTTTTTTTATCTGTGTGATATGTGGCACATTTCCCCTTTGTCCTTCCTTTATTGTCCTAAACTTTTAATTTAGTAAGGCATCTGCATAATTTGAATTCATTTTACTTTATTTTCTTCCAGATTCACTTGAGTGACCTGATAGCAGCCAGAATCTTAGGGTTTACAGATTTTGATACTTTGCTATACACCTGTGCTCCTGAATTTGACTTCATGGAACAAGCCGTATGAATGAGTCTCTATTTTTTCCTTTTCTATAAATATGATGATTTTGTTGGTTTTCAGTTTTTCATTTAGTCTGAAACTATACATCTTTACTCATAAATACATAACATACTGCATTATATTTTACTATAGCATTTGCTACTCATATATTATTAATAACCTATTTTTTCTGTAAAACCAATAACAAATACCAATATCATAAAGAACTATAGATGATTTTCAAATTAGATAATTGAGGGAAAGTGCATAACGTACTTTATAACAAAAGCAATCACTGCTATTACAAATAAATCACTTTTAGTAATCTCAGCCATTGGAAGTCCAGGGCCATTTAGGGAAACAAAATTTAGATTATTTTCTTGAAAAGAAATTTGCACTTACTGCTTTTAATGCCCTATTCTGTAGTTTAAATCTGAAGTTTCTTTGTTGATTTTTAGTTCAGATAGCCTACCTAAAGATGACATTGGATAATAAAGTAACCCACAATTAATATATCAGTCAGTGCCTGTCTGACCCTTTATGAACTTTAGTATTTTGGGGGAGAAACTAGCAACCCCAACATTCAGTGCATATATTTAAAATTTTTATGCCTTCTCAATGAATTGTTCCATGTATTAGCATGTAGTAGCCTACTTTACCACTTCTGACTAATTTAGCTTAATGTCAGGTATTATAATCATTGTGCCAGCTTGGCTTTCACTTCCATCTTCTTGAGAGATTAGCATCAATCGTTTGAGTCTCAGTTTGTAACTGTCTTTGCCAGTGAAGTGTTTCTTGAAGATGACAGCTAGATGAACTTTTTGTTTTAGTATATTACTTTTATTTTATGTATATGTGCCTACATGTATGTAAGTGCACCCATGTCATGAAATGCTCACAGAGGTCAGTAGAGGAGTCTGATCTCTTGAAACTGAAGTTATGGATACATGGGGACCAAGGACCCACAGGCTGGAGCTGTGTTCCGCGTGGCTCACATCGGTGCATTGTCAGTCCTTCCCTCAGCACCGTTCAGCTGTTCGTTCATTACTTTTATGCTTTTCTGAAGTTGTTCTCTCTCCTTGGAGCAGAGCCTTTCCTTTCTGAAACTGACTCTTACCCAGGCGCTTTTTCTAATCATTCTAATAATTTGATTCTTGCATTAGAATGTGGAAGTTGATAAATATATATTCTGCTAAAGACAAAGACATTTAACCTTTAACAAATATTGTGGCACTGTTTGGCAAATTTTTACTGCTTCAATGTAAAATTTAGTAATTAACTGTTTGAATCATTTGCTATATTTCAGACTCCACTGAGATACACAAAGACATTATTGCTTCCACTTGTTATGGTGATTACTTATTTTATCTTTAAAAAGGTATTTAAAGACTTTTTCATTACTTATTTTGTGCGTTCAAGATAATGACTATAATAGATTTATGCCAATTGCTCAGAATTCCTTATTTTTGGATAAATTATTTTTGTCTAAATCATTTTATTCCTGTCTCTATTATAATGCTTTAAAATCAAATTATTAAAGCTACCTTAATTTATTCTTTCAAAAGTGGCTTTATCAATCACTGACTGTGTATAAAGAACTATATTTACATTGTGGGTATGATGCAAAATTAAAACATAGCCACTGTAGTCTTGCACAGTCCTGGGAGAGATGAAATGGTAAGCAAATGTATGCAAGCAGATAAAGGGTTAGTGTGACGATAGGTGTTATGGATGGACAGTGGCACATTTGAAGAAGTCTTGATCTGTTTTGAGTAGATGTGCTGGGGAGAAATTTTTTTAAAAAACAATCTTCCTCTACAAACCATTGTTTTCATTAAAGAGCCTGATATAAATAATAAAAGGAATTATATGTGAGATTTCAATTGCAGATTTTCTTGGTCTGAGAGTGGTTTACCAAAGTGCTTAATGACAGAAATTTGTGGGTTACTTTTAGCAATTTTGAACTTTCTTCATGTATATTGTTACCAGTGTCTTGCCTTAACTTTATTTTACGCTTTTCAGCAGTTGACTATAACATGATTTCTCAGCCACAATACCAGTTGCAGTCCTGTTAAAAGGAATGTTCTGCATGTAAAGTAAAAAAGTGCCTGTCTCGTCTATGTAGTTTGCATGTCCCATTTCTTTTTCTTTTTCAACTTATTTTTATTTTACGTGAATGAGTGTTTTACCTACATGTATGTAAATGTACCATTTGAGTGTAATGACCAGTAAAGGGTGACAGGTCCCCTAGAACTAGAGTTTTGGACAGTCGCTAGCTGCCATGTGGGTGCTGGCAATCAAACCCGGGTCCTCTGCCAGAGCAGCCAGTGCTCTTAACTGCTGAGCCTTCTCTCTATCCACCCCAGGTCCCATTTCTTGTTCCTGTGTTTCAACCTAAAATATGAATAATCTATGAGTGAGGAAAGCATCTCCCACTAGGTCTACACCTCCGTTGTTTATATCCAATTCAGCTCCTTGGGAGAGCAGGACAGAGGGGATGAGGATGATTGTGCTGACTGAGAACAAGTTCACTGCTTTCCAGCACTTTTGTCCTCCGAAGCTCAGAGCAGAGATTTTTTTTTTTTTTGTGCCAGTCTGTTTCTACTCCACAAAAGCAAACTGTGACATTCTTGCCAGACTCCACATAGGCTTAGTGGGTTAAGACATGAATTAACTATTGACCAGAGATCCAGCCAGTATATAAAGAGCTAGATGTACTAATAAAGAGCTAGATGTACATTTTTTAAAAAGCATGAAAGCACCAACACTCTTAAATGCATTATTAGCAAACACATCACAGCCTAAATTGTACTTGTATACTAGTGTGTACATAAACAAGCATGTGCATGCTCAAGCACACGAGTATGCACACACATGCAGACACACACACGCACTCCTGCAGCCACCGAAAGTTCCTCCTCTCTGCTTCCTTACAAACTCCTCAGTCTGTCCTCACCCTATTATGGCTTATCTTTCACTTCAAAGATATTGCTGATGATTAGATAGGTTTTGACATGTATAAAGTAACCTCTTAGAATAAGGGTACATATATAGTATGACTCTCCTGGGTCAGCATGAATATTAAACTTCAACAAATGTTTTTTATCACCAATACCATTGAATTTGTGTTTTTGGAGTATATGGTTATACTCTCATGTCACTTGTGACTATTTAAATTAATATATGTTTTCATTTCATTTGAAACATTCTTCTATGAGGTTTGCATTGGATGTGTAAAATTAAAAGTTCTAAATTTCATTTTCAATTAGAATCCAAAATCAACTATATATTTACATATTTATCTGGGTTATACATCATATATCCTATGAAGTGCAAAATTATAATTAATCATAAATGTTTAGGGTTACGTGGTAAAGCCATTTTGTCCCGATTTAGCTTTCATGTTTCCTTCCCCTTCTCTTCTTTTCCTACTCTCTCCACATCCTGTACACTTCTGTGAGTACTGTGAGGTCTTCTGTAGCAGATCCTTTAGGTTAAAAGAAGAGTCAGGAAAAGATATATGAAAATCTTATTAATAATGCAGAATTTTGAGTAGAGCAGGAATATTGATGAGCAGAGGAAGAGGAAGAGCAGGAGGCAAGGGATTCAGAAGCTAAAACCCTTGTCCAGTAAAAATACAAATTTATAACACTAGTAACTAGCTATACACTTTATAAAATCTAAGAATTTTAAAGCTGAAGGAGGTCTTAAGATTTGCTCTAAAACTTGTTTTGAATACACCAAAAAGTTATAATTTTGAAAGGTTATTTTGTCTGTAACAAAACTGAGTAAACTATTCCTGAGATTTTACTTTAACATTAAGTAAATTTATCACACCTGTGATCTCATGACTTGGGAAACCAAAACAAAAGAATCTCAAGTTCTAGGCCAGCCTAGGGCAGAGAGAAGCCTTTGACTCTAGAGACACAAAAAAACAGTAGTGAAAGAAACATTTCTAGTATGGGGCATTTATAAAAATGAATCAAGACTTTTATATGTCACAGTATTTCTTAGCAATGTCTCATTGATTTGATTCTATTCACAGATTGTTCGTGATATTTTCTATGTCTCATATCCAAACACTTGTCTAAGGTAATTATTTGACAGTTATTTCAAAAACATTTCATTGTTAAATAACTTACTGAAATATTAATAATTTTTCAAATGTGTGTCCACTAAATTTCAGCATTGTGATCAACAAAGGAGATAGGAACCACATTTAGTTTTCTTTAAAAACCTATTGTTCTCATGGTTTTCACCTATATATTTGAACTTGCTTTATAGATTTTACATTTGTGTAATAGCTCTGAGTTTGAATTTACTTAATTTTAATATATCACTAGAGGTTAAAGTTTGTAAAAGGAAATAGCCCAAATTGATTTGGGCCATACCTGTTTTTTAACTTTCAGAAAGGGATAATTATTTCATTTCTGAATACTTGTTAAATTACCACATTCATTAGTAAACCTGTTTATTGTATCACATTTTTAATGGTTTCAAGGCACAAACTGATTTCAATAAAATGTATTATGACTCCTGTCATAAATAAATTGCAACAGGTCATAGGAAGTTGTTTCAAATTACATTTTATATTTGCACCTATATCATTTAATTTTATTTAACCCTTATGCATCAGGAAAGTTTGTATTTACAAAAACTTGTGAAAGTAGTACTGAGAGTGTTCACGAAGCTTACATTCCCTATGCTTCTATTTTTAATTAGCTGTTCTGTGTGATTGCCAGAGAAGCTAATATAAGACCTTCAGTGCATTTGTTAAAATCATTTCCAAACCAAGGATGTTAAGAAACAACTCCATTTTGCTCTGGTCAGATGGAAGTAGGATATGTATTGATTCTAAAATGGTGTACTGGGGACCTTGATAAATTCTCCCATAAGGAATGCTCAAAGGGTCTCAGAGCCTTTCATTGGATGTTACATAATTGAGGAATATGTGACAACTGTCCTCAGATATTTGGAAGGATATGTGGAAGAAGAAAGGATTATGGGGCTAATGGGTGAAAAGCCTTTGTCCAGAATAAGGAAGTCTTTTCTTCATATATATGTGTATATATATATATATATATATATATACATGTGAAGTAATAT